AAATTGTCAAGTCTATAAAACTCACAAATTGAATGTACTATTGGTGCGTTTTTATTTGTTTCTCAAGTTTTCTAGGCATGTGTGAAGACTGCCTTATATACAAGAAGCAGCAATACATCTCAGACAGACTAGATTGTAAACCAGGGATGGGCAGGCTTTGGTGGTCCTGATATTTTGCCCCACAGCTCCCATCAGCCACAGCCAGTACAGTGATGAAGACAGATGGAAGCTGTAGACCAAGACACCCAAAAGGCCATAAGTTGCCCAACATATTGTAGACACACGCCATCTTTCTGAATTTCTTAATTTTGCTTTGCATCCTTAGGTTTGAAGACTGCTGTCTTTGGCATGTACAATAACAGTATCACATCCCTTGCTCTAGTCTGAACGTCATTAAGTGAAGCAGAACTGTCAGCCAGAACAGTCACGGAGCTCAGTGGCATGTTTATCTTGACACAATGCATCTGCAATACCACCGTTTCCTGATTTTATCTGAGAAGATGGACTGCCAGCACGGATTAATTTTAAAACCATTGCAAAACACTATTAATGCGGAAGATTTTAAATAGTACCAGTGCAAACCTATGGACTTTTACTCAGAAGCAAGCCCTGCTGTTTTTGTTCAATGGGGTGTACCAAGGTGGCTGCCAAGAACAGGTGTTGCTGGGCACTACCAAGGGCTCCCCCTCCAGCCAAGGTCCACTGAAAAGAGCCCCTGGACATGGCCCTCCTCTTCAGCCTGTTTGCTCAGGCGCCTCTCTCTCTGGCCTGGACAATGGTGGTGGTGAGGAGGAGGAAGAGCAGGAGATGCCACTGCCTGCTTGGGATGGAAAGGTGAGCACATTGAGAGAAAGGTCCTAGTGAGGTCACCTTGGCCAAGAGTCCTCCGAACCCTGGAGCTGCTGCTTCAGAGCATTTGCTGCCTGGGGCGCCTGCCTCAAGCCACCTATCGGAAGCGTGGGCTGCGATCCAACCAGCTGACCAAGGGCAGGACTGGAAGGCAATAGCCCTCTTCTGATGTTCCTAGTGGCTGAATTTTCCATATAGTTCCATATATTAGGAGTGGGAACCCCTAGGCCAGCAGGGTGAATCCTGCCTTCCTGGAATCTGAACCCACTTTCCAGAGGTCTCCTAAACAGTTATGTCCCTTGCCCCACTCCCTTTCCCTTGTTGCTTGTTCAGCAGTGTCCCATATTTGCAGTCCTGTCCCAACCTGAAAGACTGAAGTGCTTCTCCTAACTCTTAATTGCTAACTGTATGCACTGAAGAATGGGCAGTGAAAGACACAGTTCCTCTCTCTGCATTTCAAAGTGGGAAGCTCCAGCAAGAAAGCAAGCATCAGATGGCACTGAGGATCATGTCAGTTTGGTTAAGAGGCTGAAGAGATAGATGCCATCCATGCGCAATCAGTGTCATGTGATTTTAGTTTGGTGGGATTGTACACAGCACTCTGCGCTTCAGGAGCCATGATCCCATGCAGGCTCCCAGGTTTGGCTCAAAATTTAGGCTCACGCAACTGGCTTATGGAAGCAGATTCTCCATTTTCTCCTCTCCACAGTGCCTCCTCTAGCCCCCTCAAAAGGTTATAGAGAGGGTCAGTGTACCTATTATATGGTAAGGTATAGTGATGACAGGGTAGCTTTTTGAGGGGATCCCTTCCATCTGCAGAGAGCAGATCTTGGATTCTACTTTATATGCCTCCTTCCCATACCAATGCCTTCCCCTGGCATTTACCCCAGCCGAGTTCCTTGTACCAAATGTTATAAATCAATCTTATATGGCTCTATGAAAGTGGTAACCACACTACATTGGTACCTAGGAATGCCTAATTATTTAAGCCGTGTGTTCTTATAGCAAAGGTAAGATTGTCTTGCCAGAACACAATGCTAAAATTAGCTAAAATTAAATTCTTCCCCTTTCAAAATTCTGCAGTCTTTCCCATCCACAAATTGCATCAGATCCTTCTGGTGGCTGGAGGGGCTCCGTGATGAGAAAAATTGTTCTTCAGCTGCCATCTAGTGGCCACAAGATGCAACTGCAAAGCACTGCTCATCCATAAAATGAGACTTCAGCCTCCAGTAGACAAAGTGAGACAAGTTCCCAGAGCATTTGCTTGCTCTAGGATGCCATAATACAGCACCCAGGGTGAGAGCACAGTCCCAGATGGTTAATTACCAATCCAGTGAATAGTTGGCTGCCTCAATCCTTCATTGGACTGAATTCTTGAGATTATTTGCATATATAGTTGAAATATTGTAAGGCGGAGTGAGGATGAGGAAGCCAAGGCTATTTTTTTCAATCTAATCTTCCTCACAAGGTTGTTGAGAATAAAAGGAAAATGCCATGTATGCTGATTAGCACTCTTTTGAGGAAAAGGAGTTTTTTTAAGGTACTAAATAAATGTAGAAGTCCACTCAGGTTGTTCTGCATAGCTATTTATTCCATGATTTTTAAACAAAAACATATTATGAATTCTGAGTTCATTTTTAATATACTCTGACAGAACACCCCCCCAAACACACACAAATAAACCCCCAAACTGTCTCACTGTTTATTAACCAGCTTCATTTTTTGTTTAAGTTCTGCCAAACCTTTCCATTTCTATATATTAAAATGTTTGTCAGTAAAAAAAAGAAAACTTTCAACTAGAAGAAAATTTAGCAGCAGGAGTGGGCAAGAAAAATGTAGCACGCTGATCCAAGCATGTCCACTGGACAATTAAGGGAGCAATCTTGCTTCCTGGAAGCGTTGCTATGGAACACTTTCCCGCAGAGGTTCTGCATGGTCCGGCAGCAGAAACCTCCAGGGGCCAGGGATGCCCCCTGGGGGTGGTGTTGACCAAAATATGGCATTTGGAGGAAGCTGTAGATCCCAAGCCCTCTTTTCCTTACATCCCATCGAAGCCCACAGGACCTGAAAGCCTTATTGCAGCTCACTGCATTCCAGTGTCATTTACACTGTAAAGCTCCACAGGTCTGCTCAGGTGTACATCGCTTTCATTGCAGTAATGCTTGTTTCCAAGGCTAGGATTGCTTCCTTCTCAAAGGAGGGTGGGAGCCACTCTGAAGGGGGGGGGGGGGTGTTACACTGTAGCACTGATTGGCAGGTTCCATCCCTGGTGAAAGGAGTGCCTCTTCTCCCACACTAACAAAACTGGAATATAAATTTTCACCAGTGAAGGATATGGCCTCAGGACAGCATTAATGCTGTGCTATCTAATCCATTTCAATTAATTTTAATGGTAATCTGTTTGAACAGTTTAAAAGGTGAGGAAGAGGAACAGGCTGCAGAAGAACCCTGAAGCAATGGCTGTGAGGGATGGGCCTCCAGCATTGATTGATTAATTGATTGATTGATTGATATCCTGCCTTTTTCCTACCAAGGGCTCAAGGCAGCTTACATCATCTCTCCTCCTCCATCTTATCCCCACAACAACAACCCTGTGAGGTAGGTTGGGCTGAGAGTCTGTGACTGGCCCAAAGTCACCCAGTTGGCTCCATGGCTGAGCGGGGACTAGAACCCAAATCGTCTGAGTCCCAGTCCATGCTCTTAACCACTACACCACACTGGCTCTCTTGCAGCAGGTTTCATTCTTGGGCAGAGGTAAGGAATGTATCTCCATTGTGATATTGTTAGACAACACCTGTCAGTCCTAGTCCACCTAATAATGATGGCGATGGGAGTTGCAGGTCAACACCATGTTCCCCTTCCCTGTTCTAGGGATTGCCATGCAAACCCCAAGGGAACTAGGATAGCTCCAATCCAGCAAGCTGCATCCCTGGCTGGAAATACGGTTCTATTTGGGGATGTGTCTTTGTGCCCATTCAAAGGGTGCTTCTGCAGCCTGGGGCGGTAGTGGGAAAAGGCTTGGGGGAGACTTCACAGTGGCGCTGTGCCACCAAAGCCCTGCTGTGTCTGCTTTGCTAGTGTTGGTGGGGAAGGGGTTGTGTGAGGGCGTGAATTCAGCCCAGGCACTGCCTTCCCGTAATCCCTCCGGCCCTTGAAACAGGCTGTCAGCATCAGCTGAACAGATTATGTCATGACACACAGAGCCAGCCTCTTGCTGCTCTGGAGTATCTTTGCAGTCAAACGTCACCCAAGTGTCTGAAAGGGCTGCCAGTCATAAGGCCGTGGTCCAAACCGCAAAGCTCTTGGAACTACGAACACCAGACACAGACACTTGGAATACCACTGATATTCTGCCCTGCAGGAATGGCAGACATGAACAAGTGAATCCGGCACCTGCTCCCCTTCCAAGTAGCTGGCCAGCAGTGTTCAATATATCATAGTGGAGATGCTGATGGATTTAGAAAATATGCATCCAGCAGCCTTCTGCGTCTTTAATGCAGAAAGGCAACATGTGTCCCCCCAGATGTTTTGGCCTACAATTCCCATCAACCCTTGCCAGCATAGCTAATGGCAAAGGATCTTGGGAGCTGAGGCCAAAGTATCTGGCTGGTCATAAGGGCCCTGCTTTAATTCAGCCAGGTAGGTATACAGCCAAGAAAATCTACATACTGCAATTCCTAACTGGATTAGGCACTACTGTTAATTTGCTTTAATTACACACGTTGCTACCACAGATTGCGAAGAAATGGTCCTAAACTTACAGCTGTCTTATAGTTGCAGAAGGGTGCTCTCCTGTGACAAATTTCAATTAATAGGTCTGCACATGTGACAAATCTGGGCATCTTGACAAATTAAGAATACAACAATTACATTCATACTTTTCTTGTTGAGCCTACCAACACCTGAAAGAGCACAGTGTAATATATATCTGAAATAAAAAACCAGCAAGACTTTAAGGGAGTTAGAAATACCAGCTTGGAATGGGCTGGGAACTCAGTTCATCCTTTCATTTAGCGAGGGTCACAAAATGGCTCACAGATCGTTCTATCAGCATTGCTGGCTAATACCACTGGGTATAAATTATACCAGCCTCCAAAGGTGAAGTTGCAGTTCAATTATTGCTAAAATTATATAGTCTATGCATGTTCACTGAGTAAGAGCATATAATTGTGCGCTTTTCAAAATAAAATGTTTCTAGTCCTCATGGTCAGAGGTGGGCAGATTTAGACTGCTTCCCGGATGTGTTTCCCTCTCTTCCTTGAAGTTCCCAGGGTCTCTGAGCATAGCAGTCCCCTAATCTCCTTTCCTCCCCATTTCCTCTCTCCATCTTTCCACTAAAACATTCCTTGCCCAAAACAATTCCACAGTCCTTCAAAGTATAAACCTTGGAACAGAAGATATTACTCAAAATAAGCTTTTGATTTATTAATGTGGTTTTAGTGTAGATTTTTCTTTCTGCAGAGTACATAGTCCTTCCCCTAGTAGTCTCTAATTGTTATTCTCCTGTCAGCAATAAGGACGAGTCTTCAGTGAACATGACTTAATACGGACGACTCAGCTAAGGATCTAGCCCTCATTATCTTGCAGCAGATTCCAGACATTGGCATGAGTGCAGATTTCACCACATGCATAGCTCCAGTGTGTCCATCCCAACACAGCATAATGTTCATTATCTCTTGTGTATTGACATTTCCAAGGTAAATCTGTTAGCTGAAAGTCTCCACCTTTCACAGTACAGTTAGCTTTGTTGCTAGTGTCTCCTCTGTCTGACTTTCATCTTTGTTGTGTTGTGTGGATGAGATGATAGCCGCATCTACGTGGTTCTCCTCGATCTTTAAGGCAAAGTTGTCAAACCCTGTACTGGCTGCCAGTGGCAGATTGGTGGAGCCAGGCTCTGCAGTGCGGGTTGGTGTGGAACAGTACAGAATGAAGCCCACCATGATAACCACAAAGGACAGGAGATAGAGCACCGAAAACTGAAATGAAAGGAAGGGGGACAAAAGCGATGGGTTAGAACAGTCTCTCCTGAAGCAAATCTGGCTTCAGCCTCACAGATTCCATTTGAGCCTTTCTTAGAATTAAAAAAAGTGCAGGGAAGGCAGTGCTGTGACATCCAACATTGTCCCTGCGTTGCAACCTTTATTTTAGCTATTCATGAAGTAGCTGAAGACCTGAGAGGGCAGAAGAGCAGGGCGAAATGGCAAGCCCCAACCCCTTCCCCACACACAATAGCCATCTTTGTTCCCCTATTTTTCTAAACTTGACCTTGGACTCCAAACTTCTTCCCTGAAAGGTCTGGGTGTCTGTGGTGGCCCCGGCTGCCTCAAGCACAACTCTGACTTTCTCACATTCGGATTCCATTTGCAAGAGCTGCTAATTCTCAGCAGATGCTCTCTAGCTTAGCCTGGCTATTTGCATTGGCGGGGGACTGGCTGGTGCAGTCTGGGCTACCCAAGTAGGCTTTGCGGGTGGGGATAGAGGGAAAAGCAGGTTGCTTACCTGTAACTGATGTTCTTCGAGTGGCCAGCTGTGCAGTCACACATATGGGTTCTGCGCCTGTGCAGTGCCTTTGGCCGGAAGATTGATAGCTAACGGTTTCCTTTTCGGCGGGGACTCTGCTCCCCCTCCCCCCTAGCAGTATATAAGGAGCAGAGTGACCGCCATTTTCCAGTCTTTGAAAGACCGACGTTTGGTTCCCTATGACATTGCACATTAGTACAAGAAGTTTAAAGAAGTAGCGGTACGACACATAGGAGAGATTATAATATCTAAGTAAAAATAATCGAACCACCCATGACACCAAGAGGGGTCGGAGGGTGGGTTGTGTGACTGCACAGATGGCCACTCGAAGAACATCAGTTACAGGTAAGCAACCTGCTTTTCTTCGTCGTGGCCTCTGTGCATCACACATATGAGTAGAATAACAAGCTTACCCCAACTGGAGGAGGGAGGTGTCATCATCGAAGGACAGATGAAAGTACAGCTCTGCCAAAAGAGCAATCCTGTCTGGCATGGACATCTAGCCTATAGTGTTTGGCAAAGGTACACGGGGTAGCCCAAATGGCTGCCTTGCACACATCCTCTATCGGAACTCCTGATGCAAAGGCTGAAGAGGCAGCGACAGCTCTTGTGGAGTGACCTTTTGGAGTAGATGGTAAGTCCATCTTGGCTAGCTGATAAGCTAGGACAATTGTATTAACTATCCATTTTGAAAGGCACTGAGAGGTAACTGGACAACCTTTGTCGTGCTCTGAATATTTCACAAAGAGTCTATTTGAATGTCGAAAGGATTCAGTCCTGGATCTATAAAAGGCTAAGCAGCGACGGACGTCCAGCATATGTAGAGATCTTTCTATCGGATTCGAAGGGACTGGAAAAAACGCCAGTAACACAATTTCCTGTTGCATATGGAAAGAGGTAGCAACTTTCGGAAGGAAAGACGGATCCATACGAAGAACCACCTTTTCCTTATGAAAATTTAGAAAAGGGGGATCCACTCGAAGAGCGCATAGTTCAGAGGATCTACGTGCTGAAGTCACTGCCACGAGGAAGGCTGTCTTCCAAGAAACGAGGCGTAAATCAATTGTCGCCATGGGCTCGAACGGTGATCGAGTTAATGCTTGTAAAACCACCAAGAGACTCCATGTAGGCATTAGGGGTTTTACAGTGGGATTCAGATTACTTAAGCCTCTCAAAAATCTTTTTATTAGAGGTTGAGTAAAAAGGGAAAAACCATGTATAGCTCCTCTGTAGTGGGAGAGCGCTGCTGTATAAACCTTTATAGATGAAGGTTTGAGTCCAGACTGATGTAGTTCAAAAAGGAACTGAAGTATCTGTGAAACGGAGGCTGAGGAGGCTGGAAAAGAGTGTAAATTGGCGAAGTTAGAAAATCTTTTCCATTTTGCTGTGTACGACTTCCTGGTAGATGGTCGTAGTGCAGATTCAAGAATATACTGCAGATCTGGGTGCAGGCTCTGCTGGGTATGCATGGTCAAGATGGTAGGCAGTGTCGATACCGATGTATCACCCCGGGTCACCGTATCCGCCATGCAGTCAGTTTCAACGATAGCAACTCTGGGTGACAAACTGTGCCTTCCTTCTGGGTGACTAGATAAGGGAGAAGAGGGAAGTGAAGAAAATCCTCCCTGGAAACTTGAAGGAGAGTTGGGAACCACGGTTGTCATGGCCACCATGGAGTGATTAGTATTCCTGTAGCTCCTTCATGAATGATCTTTGCAAGCACTCTCATGATAAGTGGGTTAGCATAAAAAAAGCATAAAAAATCGGAGGGAAAGCATAAAAAATCACACCTGTCCATGGAATCATGAAAGCGTCGCCCAGGGAGTCCTGACCCACTCCCGCTCTGGAGCAATAGGTCCTGCACACTCTGTTCCCTTGAGTGGCAAACAGGTCGATGTCTGGTCGACCCCATCGGTGAAATAACATGTTTCGAACCCGACAGTCTAATTCCCATTCGTGGGAGCCTGACTTGTGTCTGCTCAGGAGATCGGCTTCCGTGCTGTCGGTGCCCACAAGGTGAACTGCTAGAATAGTGATACCCCTTGGTATACACCAGTCCCAAATCTGCATGGCGAGACGGGCTAGCTTCCGGGATCGGGTTCCTCCTTGTTTTTTTAAATAAAAGACCGTCGCCACGTTGTTGGAGGTTACTTGAACGATCTGATGAAGGAGCAGATCCTTGAAAGCTTGCAGTGCTTTGAAAATGGCAAGGAGTTCCAGAAAATTGATATGATTCCTGCCATCCCGATGGC